AAAAAAAAAAGAAAAAAGAAAAAAGAAAAGGGGCAAGGTTAGGCTACTTCAAATTAACAGAAAATCAAATAGAAATCCTATACAAAACATGAATGCATTACATGATCTAGGCAGTAATTAACCTCCATTATGCCCTCCTAGAAAGTAAGAACACATGGGAACCCACTCAAAAGAAAGGTATGGTGCTGATATATGAAATGGCCTCCACCATTTGGATTGCCAATTCATATTTGATTTAAGCATTTGTCAATTCCATCTATTAAAATCATATAAAAATTCTAATCTCAATCATACTTTATATGAAAAAAAAAATAACATATTTACAACTAGCAAGACATGCTAAGGTGTCTTGTCAGCAATATGAGGTGTCAAGTTGAACGATTCTCCAAGTGAGCATGCTCCCTATGATCTCATGCTCTCATTCTGTAAATAATCTATGCATTTCACCCCTCTATAAATAGCTCTTGCATTGATCATCTCTCCACTTCACTAGCTCACAAGCATCCTAACTTGTGTCTATACCCTCCTCTCTTAATTTCTTTCTATCCTCCTCCAAATCCTACTATCGTTCTCTCTTTGCTTTCCAAAATGGCCACTGTTGAGGTAAATATTTCTGCAAAAATCAATTTTTTTCTTGCCTACAAGCACAAATCTTTAAGCCTCTTAGTCTATCATTACAACCCATTTCTTGATCTAGCACTTGTGGTAGATCACCTTGAGACTCATGCAGTGTGTGCGTGTGCCTGTTGTTGAGTCCTTTTGAGCGATAGTATCTTTCTGATTACTGACGTTTTTTTCCTACTTCTTTTATGATCAAATGTTTCTGCATCTAGATCCTGTGATAGATCAATTTATTCTCTGAGCTAGATTTGAAAATTCTGGTTTCGATCAACCAACTTTACCTCTTGACATAGACCAACAAAATTATAAGCCACTTGACTCTCTTTTTTCTTTTCCTGATGATCTTTTCAAGAATCCTATTCATGTTCTAAGCTCTTGTTCTCAAGAGAAAGCTCGCTAAAGCAACGTTATAGAAAAGAAAATAAAAAAACAAAAAGAAGAAAAGAAATAAGGATATTCAACCAATCAATCTTATTTAACTCAAGAATAAAATTTATTTAAAGATAAATTTAATAAAAAATATTATTTTTATCCACAATAAGTTATGTCCATGAAAACAATGTTTTCCCCTCTTTTTTTTAGTTTTTTTTATTTTTTGTTTGATAGTAAGTATATTTTTAGACTACCTTACATGTTAACTAAAACTAAGTTTATTGTCAAAACATTTTAAATATATAATCAAACATTTTAGGAATACATCTCCTATATTAATTTGATATTTGCTATTGAATCATTTTAAGTATGTTATCCAACATTTTAAAAATGTATCTCTTATATTAATTTGGTGTGTGAAAGCGTGTTTAACATTGCGATAATATTTCTTTTCAAAATGATTTTTGCTTGTAAATATATTAAAATAATATTTTATTATTATTATTTTTTACACTAATATATTAAAAAGATTTTAAAATATTAAAAAATAATTTTAAAAAATTCAAATTTAAAAAAAAATTGTATTTAAAATGTTAAAACAAACATGTTAAAAATAGAAAGACCTCTTCTCAAATAAGAAAAGAACAAAATGGATTCTCTTCAAAATAAATATCAGCATGATCAATATAATTCGATTAAAGAAGAGGAACCATTCTATGAAAAAAAAAAAGAAAAAGAAAAAAGAAAAGGGGCAAGGTTAGGCTACTTCAAATTAACAGAAAATCAAATAGAAATCCTATACAAAACATGAATGCATTACATGATCTAGGCAGTAATTAACCTCCATTATGCCCTCCTAGAAAGTAAGAACACATGGGAACCCACTCAAAAGAAAGGTATGGTGCTGATATATGAAATGGCCTCCACCATTTGGATTGCCAATTCATATTTGATTTAAGCATTTGTCAATTCCATCTATTAAAATCATATAAAAATTCTAATCTCAATCATACTTTATATGAAAAAAAAAATAACATATTTACAACTAGCAAGACATGCTAAGGTGTCTTGTCAGCAATATGAGGTGTCAAGTTGAACGATTCTCCAAGTGAGCATGCTCCCTATGATCTCATGCTCTCATTCTGTAAATAATCTATGCATTTCACGCCTCTATAAATAGCTCTTGCATTGATCATCTCTCCACTTCACTAGCTCACAAGCATCCTAACTTGTGTCTATACCCTCCTCTCTTAATTTCTTTCTATCCTCCTCCAAATCCTACTATCGTTCTCTCTTTGCTTTCCAAAATGGCCACTGTTGAGGTAAATATTTCTGCAAAAATCAATTTTTTTCTTGCCTACAGGCACAAATCTTTAAGCCTCTTAGTCTATCATTACAACCCATTTCTTGATCTAGCACTTGTGGTAGATCACCTTGAGACTCATGCAGTGTGTGCGTGTGCCTGTTGTTGAGTCCTTTTGAGCGATAGTATCTTTCTGATTACTGACGTTTTTTTCCTACTTCTTTTATGATCAAATGTTTCTGCATCTAGATCCTGTGATAGATCAATTTATTCTCTGAGCTAGATTTGAAAATTCTGGTTTCGATCAACCAACTTTACCTCTTGACATAGACCAACAAAATTATAAGCCACTTGACTCTCTTTTTTCTTTTCCTGATGATCTTTTCAAGAATCCTATTCATGTTCTAAGCTCTTGTTCTCAAGAGAAAGCAACACAGATTAAGGAAATATGAATCCTAAAAACCCTTCTAGTTTTCTTCTGTTTGTTTATACACCTTGGGATAAATATCAGTATGGTTTTTGTTGCAGGTTGAAGCTGCTCCATCAATTCCTGAGACAGAGGTACCTGAGGTGACCAAGACTGAGGAGACAACAACAGAAACTGCACCACCTGTCTCTGAGCCAGCAGCTGAAGAGCCAACAGAAGCAGCACCCGCTGATGCTCCAGCCGCAGAACCTGAAGCTGAACCTGCAGTTGAGGTTGAAACCAAGGAGGTTGTAGGAGAACCAGCAAAAACTGAGCCTGAAGAGGTTGCAGCCCCAGCAGCCGAAGAAACTCCTGAGGACAAGCCTGAAGAGGCTGTTGCTGAGGAGACTGTTGTCGAAGAGACTAAAGAGGAGGCAGCACCGGCTCCTGTTGAGGAAGAGAAGCCAGCAGAAGAAGAGAAGCCAGCTGAGACACCAGCTGCAGAGACAACCACCGCAGAAGTTCCTGTGCAGACTACTGAGTGAATAGATTGGTTCTATGAAGTGATTGATACTAGTGGGGTGGGGTCTTTGTTTTTCTTCTAGGTTTCACTGTCAAAGTCCTCAGGTTTCTGTTTTGTTTCATTTCTCTGTTTATTGATTTATGATTATGGTTACAGAAAGGGTTTTGGATGGGATCATGGGATATGGAAGCTATAGAGTCGATACTAAGCACTTCGAACACACATCAGATTACAACTTGCCAGCCCAGGTCAGAGCACACAGCAAGAACGTTGCCATTGCAAGGGCCATGACTCATGGTGGCATGGGGTTAATTTGAATGTATGCGGGTTTCCATAAGTTCTATTGGTTTTGAAATGGTGTGATGATGTGATCTCTATCTAGGCTTGATAATAAAAATTATATTGCTATGTTTATGTTTAGTAAATGAGCACTTGCTACTGCTAGTTTTCTATGCTTCGGTTTTTTGTGAGAAATAAGAATTGCCATGGTTTTATTATAAAGTCCATCGCATAAATCATGAAGGCGGATGCTAATCATCCTTGCAGCAATAAAACTTACATAATAGATTGCTATGCCATGTCCAATCCATTCTGATGTGCAGGTGAAAGTAGCTAGAACCAAAAGACAACGAATTCGCTGAAATATAGTTATAACCCTAAAATCTTATTTTATTTCTGAAATATTAATCTAATAAGTATTTACAAGTCACCTTGAAAAACTAGAAACCTAAAATGAAAAATGTAAGAGAGCTAAAATCATGAAATCAAAGAAAAAAAAATAAAAACTAGTTCAAACATAATTCTAAAGCTTAATTTGAGGATTTTCATGTAGCGAATAGATTTGTACAATGTTTCTCTGGAATCAGGTTTCGAGAATCTTTTATAAAAACATAATAATCAAATTAAAAGTTATAATTTTTTATAGCTATCATGCTTACCTGTTGTGATTCAATCTCTTTTTAGATTTAACTGTATCTTACCAAGTCATAAAAATATCCACTAAATGATCTATATAATCTATTTATTTATGATAAATTTTTATCTAGATGTGATACACAATGAGTGATCGGAATCTTTAAAATTTTTACTAAACGGAAATATCACAATCCTATTCATATAGGAAACATTAAGAGTTGAACATGATATCTTGTCTAACAGGTTGATATTATGCTCAATAGCAGTGGGAGATACAAGATTTTTAACCAAATGTAACATAAAAATAATAACTAAAGATTTTAGGTGTAACGCTTAATTTTATATTTAGCTGGAGAGTCGGGATATAAAATAAATTTATGTATGAAAATCTTGAAATAAATATTTATCATTTTAAAATAAATAATCTAATAAGTATTTACAAGTCACCTTGAAAAACTAGAAACCTAAAATGAAAGAGAGCTAAAGCTTAATTTGAGGATTTTCATGTAGCGAATAGATTTGTACAATGTTTCTCTGGAATCAGGTTTCGAGAATCTTTTATAAAAACATAATAATCAAATTAAAAGTTATAATTTTTTATAGCTATCATGCTTACCTGTTGTGATTCAATCTCTTTTTAGATTTAACTGTATCTTACCAAGTCATAAAAATATCCACTAAATGATCTATATAATCTATTTATTTATGATAAATTTTTATCTAGATGTGATACACAATGAGTGATCGGAATCTTTAAAATTTTTACTAAACGGAAATATCACAATCCTATTCATATAGGAAACATTAAGAGTTGAACATGATATCTTGTCTAACAGGTTGATATTATGCTCAATAGCAGTGGGAGATACAAGATTTTTAACCAAATGTAACATAAAAATAATAACTAAAGATTTTAGGTGTAACTCTTAATTTTATATTTAGCTGGAGAGTCGGGATATAAAATAAATTTATGTATGAAAATCTTGAAATAAATATTTATCATTTTAAAATAAATATATAAGAACATTTCCCTTTTATTTTCATTGTTTCTATATTTTCCTTCTCGAAACAATAACTAAAGATTTTATGTTTAGTAATTTAGTTCTAACTGCTTTTTATTTGAAAAAAAGTAAAATTATAAATGCTTTTTACTAAATAAAACACTCACAAAAAAATCAATTTACTAAATTAATATACATGGAAAACAATCAAACCGCAATACCAAATGATATCTATACAATAGCACGGATTGAAACTCCTCTTGGAACCCACACAAAGAAAAAAGGACCGCAACAGCATTACCACTACCATTACATCAAACTGTGATTTTGATGAAATATCTCATTTTTTCTCAAGCACAGAAGTAATTTCCCAATTAAACCTTCCAGGCTTTTTATTTGCTTATCAACATGGCAAAGTAGCTACGCCACAAATCTTGGTTACGTGTGATATTGAATCTTGGAGGCTAAGACAAGTTAACACTGGTCTGTTTTCCAATGGAAAGATATGTAATGTCAGGTGGCTCAGGCCCCTCTATGAATGGTGACAACAGCTTAGTGCCAGAACAATAAAACAAATATCTATCAATATAACTACTGTAGAATAAGCTTCATCATGTAGCTCTATACTTTGAAACAACATATCAAAGACCAACTCCAAACAACTGGCTCAGGCCCCTCTATGAATGGTGACAAAAGCTTAGTGCCAGAACAATAAAACACATATCTATCAATATAACTGCTGTGGAATAAGCTTCATCATGTAGCTCTATGCTTTGAAACGACATATCAAAGACCAACTCCAAACAACTCGATAATCCGTAACAAGATTCATACAGAAACAGGCAAGAAATTCGGTCCAGTGCCTCTCGTAAGACAAATGCAATGGACAATGTAAGATTGTAATGACCTTCAGGGAAAAGGTTGTTTCATCATGCTCCTTCACATGATGAACATAACCTGTCAGATCACCTAATAATTTGCGAAACACGGAGAATCTTGTCGTAACAAGAACCGTGCTGTATTAGCAAAACAGAACCCTAATTAGGCATGAACATAGCCAAATACAAATATAATCAAGCATTAGATGACAATAATATACTGACCAACAAAATAAATTACGTACTTTTTTCAATGAGACAGTTGAATTATTCAATAATTTCAGACGAGCAGAAGAGGGAAGTGAGAGTAATAACCTTTCTATGAATTTGGATGTCATTGCCTAATCTGTGTACTTACATGACAAGAAAAGCAGCTACTGTTACTGATGAAGGAAGTCCATCTGGGAGCATAGAAATTTTCTTCCTTCTAGCCCCCAGTAGCATTATTTACGCTATACCTATATTAACAGTTTGACAAAAAGAGCAATGACATCGCAACTTTCCTGGAGGAAACATAAATTAACTACGAGACTTTCTTACATAGTCTAATTAAACTGACGACATAAACCTATCTGTACAAGCTGAGATGAAATCTTTTCTATGTGCAGTTAGAACCCTTGTTTACCCTGAAAGTGAATGTACCCAATGCATTACCAAGTGCCAAAACTGCATCCAACATGTTCTTGGGTGATGACGCGGAGGCGATCTTGCATGATAGCCATGGAGGGATAAGGTGGGAAACACAACCGGTAAAAGCATGTATGAGATGAAGGAAGGTGATCAGGTGGTTCTGTGGACTTGTAAATGTAAAGCCGTGAGGCCAAACCACGGAAACCCTCAACAGGTAGATACTTCACCGAGGTCCAAAAGAAGAGAAGAACCTTTCTCTGATCTGCTGACATTCCCCCAACAATCTGCAAGATGTTCAGGAAGAGGATAAATAAAATAAAAAGCAATGCTTTTGCCCTGACAGAACTTTTTACCATTACGTATGAGAAATGTGGGACTATCTCAACTGCAGCTGACTGGTAAAAAACTCAAGGTCCAGGAATGCAAATGCAGGCCAATATGGTTCTCACTTACTCATATCATTCTCATGAACATTTTTAAGATCAAAAGCAAAAAATAGTACTATGGAGACTTCTGCAATAAAACTCAGTATATTGAGTGGAGCTCTCTATGTGGGTTTGGCTACCTCTTCCATGGAGTGCATGATTATTTACTAGTTTCTCTCAAGTACCTTGAGTGTCATTTGTTGAGTATATTATGAACCAACCAAAAATGAGGCATGCTACCATTGGTGATCAATCAAAGTTCATGGGAAACCCACATCCTCTGTTTTTGATGACTAGCAAATTAATTAATATGGTTATTCCACGCTGGTGATGGAATAAGGACATGCCTGATACACAAGGATAAAGAGTGAGGAGGACCTATTAAAGACCTGAATGGAATAACAAACTTTCTCAAAAACAGTGCTTTATCAAATGAGCATCAATCAAATCCCACACTGTTTTCAGAGATATGCTTTTGTTATGACCAATGACCAACTAGCTGAATAGGCATATCTACCTTAAGGCTGATTTTCAAAACATAAAGTACCTTATTTCTGTTTCGTTCAGCTCACTCTGCAAAGCAAGAAATTAAAAGAAACAAAATCCACCCTCATTTCAACTCTCACCTGGAATATTTTTATGAGACAATAAAACCTGATGGACCAACATTAGCGGCACATTAAAGTTCAAAGGGAAACCACATACTCAATTTTATCACCTAACAAAAAAATCAGTTAAACCCCAAATTGCTGATTGGATAAACAGCCCATCTGGTACAAAAGAAAAACCTTGTAAAATACAGAAAATTCCTTAATGGATATAAAATCAATATTTTGACAAATAAAACACCACTCCCATGCCCTGCCCATTCACAACCCCACAGAAAGAGGAACCAACGGAAGTATGGAAACAAAATCCACAATTGTTCCAACTCTGGCCTTACCTCCCAAAGTCTAGCACACTTGTGGAAGCACATAAGAAATCCAACTACACCCACCATACTCTAATTTCACAGCAACAATTTTTTCCCCCTTCCCATGTATATATGCAGTCAATATAACATACATGCTCAACATTTTGACATTTGTATTTGTGTAAATGCCTGCATGAATACCATGAATTCAAACTTCAACACCAAAAATTCCCATTATAACATAACTTAAAACTCTTAAATTTGATCTTAGCAAACACAAACTAAGTTCCTAATATGCTTCCTTACTTAATCATGCGATCATCACTCTGTTGAGGAATTCATGGCACAACCTTAAGCATTTGAGATTCAAAATGATCTGTAGATGTGACAAGCCAAACATGGAAAGCACTTTGAATTTGCTTCAGTATTTATAATGTGTCAACAGCTGACATCTTTCAGCATTTAAGACATTGCACCAAAGTGATTAGCTGATATGCAGCAGTCAAATGGTGAACTGGCAAACAACCTCAAATGTCCCATTTTCCACACCAGCATACATTAGAAAAAATTGAATTCACATGGTATTTAGGCTATACTTAATTAGCAAAACAGAAGCACACCTGGTAAGGATATACAGAAAAGGATTGTTCTGTCATGTTAGCAAATAATGAACAAAAGCTACTTC